GGGGTGGGGGACGCTAAGCTTGTCGCGTGGAGGTCACTCTATGATAGACAGAAGAAATATCACATTGTTCCTTCCAGAATGACTCTCCAAACAGTATGGCTGAAAGAAAAGATTTCAGTTGGGCTCAATGTGCAAAAGGGAGAAACGTGCAAATTTCCTAAGTTAAAAGGGCAATCTTTTAAAAAAAAAATGAGAAGGATTTTAAAAGGCCCAGTTCATCTGCTCAGTACTGGCATCCAACCAGAATCACCAAAAGCCACCAATAACCCTGATTCCAGATTTGGTTAGGAGATGGGCAGCTCTCTCCGGGAGAATACCTCCCCAAAATCAGATTTCAGGCCTGATGCAGGGTCCAAAATCAAAGGATCAAAATCATAGTTTAAAAAAAAAATACAATCATAATTCTCAAGATTACTGAGGAGACAGCCAGATGAAAGTTTACAATATCTCTTTTTGTTTGTACAGCTGAGATTTAAGGAGGCACCACATTGTATAGGATTTAAGGCTTCTAAAAGGCCATTTTCAAGTTATGGTGCTTTTCTTCAGAATGTTTGAATGGCCGTCGGCCTCTTCTATTCCCGACAGCAAGCTCATCACACTGCATTAGACTTCAGTTTCCTGCGGATCCATCGCCATTCCCTGGAGTCACGGCTCCCTTCCAAAATGGCAAAGCTGTCACTAGAAACAGGAGAGCAGGAGGGGTCCCACGGCTGCGTTCCCAGCACTGTTTCATAGCATCGGCCTTCTCAATGCTTATTGCCTTGACTTGGTTTCTCTAAGTCTCAGGGAGACGTTTAATCTGGGAAAGTTTTAGGGGGGAGAAACTATTCATGTCCAGAAAATAGAGGATTCAAAAGGATATCAAATCAATAAAGAGTGGGTTTTTTTCTTGCATTCAAATAAAACAAAGTGAGTTTCTTTTCACTGATCTGAACCTATCTGAGTGCTCACTTTATAATAAATTCAATTCCAAGCAAAAATTATTTCCCCACTATTTCAATGTAAATGACTGTATTTTCTGCTTAGCAAATGCAGAATCAGATAATTCTCACTCAATATATCAGTACTCAAGACGGAAATTTTTTCCCCTTTACAAACCACTAAAATCATTTTTCCTTTTGAAAACCAGGGTTTTCAATGGGAACAGAAGTACATGCGATTTTTTAAAAGCAGGAGCTCTGTGATAGAGAGTTTGACCAAGTCCTGAAGATCCACAGCTCTGAAATTCCTCATTTTCTCCGCCTGCAGCTCTAGCCCCTGTGCCCCACTTCCCACCCGGGTCCCCGGGAGCCACGTCCCTTTACCAGAATTTCTTCTGCCTTCCCTGCAGCATGTGGCACTGCAGACTCCTCCCCTGCTAGAATTCTCTCTTCTGTGTGTTTAGAGGCAATGGCCCCTTTCCTGTCCCTACTCTGGCCATTTCTCTGTGTCCCTTCACTCACCCTTCCCTCTTCATTCAGAAATGTGGGCTTCACTGAGACTCTTTGATCAACTCTTTGAACTCCTGTTTTGTGTTTTCTCTGCCTTCATTAACTTATCATCCTGCGTAGCTGTGTCGCCCATGCATATAAAGATGATTACTCAACGTGTATCATTTCTAAGTTCCAAATTTGCTTCTTGTGTCCAGCTATGTTTCAGATGATCACACAAACTCCCAGGCTTAGTTCCCTGTACAATCGTCCTCCATTTCTTCCCATTTTATTCCGAGGCAGCACCGTGGTTTGTACTCATTAGCATCATCTTCAACCCTTCCTCCTCTGCCCCTGTGGATTTCTGCTCTCCTCTATGAATGACTGCCTTCTCTTCTTTCTGTCTCCACTTCTGCTTCTCTGATTGACTCCCTGTCACCTCTAAGAAAATGACAATGACTCCAGATCTCTCTTCTGATCTCTTCTGCTGTCTCCTGGCCGAGAAGTCTTTACAAATCCCAGCAGCACCAAAAATGGCCATCCTCTAAGAGTGACCAGCACATGGTACATACTCAGGAAATACCCAGGGATGTCTTTGCCAATCTTTTCCACTCCATCTGCCATGTCATCTCATGAGATAATTTCCCAGTCTTGCAAATCGAAGACACCAATCTCCTTTTCTCTTCCAGCCCCTTCTTTTAACCTCTCCCACAGCCCTGAGCCTAGAGCCTCATGGTATTTGTCCCACTGTTAGAGGTCACCTCCTTTAGCAAACACTGCATGGTTATCTTTGCCTCCTCCAAAGCGCTTCTGATGGCGACTTTCAATAGATGCTTACTGAAGTGAACCTCCACACGAGAAAAGGTACCGACGATGTTTTTAGGGCACATTATTTAGATTGCAAACAGCAAACTTGATACTTGTCGTTGCGAGACACATGAAATGGACATCACAATTCTGAATGACATACTTACAGAATAGAAATCTGCTTTCAGACTTTAAGTTCTTCTAAAGTTTATGCTATAATAAACCTAATTTTGGGGCTCTCTATTTCTACTAATGTTAGAAAACTACAGCTGTACAATAAATATCTCAATTTGGTCATACTAAAAATTCTATAATTCTCACTGAATAATAAAATGTTATATTGTAATAGTCATGATAATAGCAAATTTCATTGAGAATTTATTCTTGATGAGCACCACTTCAAATATTTTATCTGCCTTAACTTGTTTTAATCCTCATAAAACCTTACACAATATATTACTATTGTTTATAAATCTGAACACTTAAGCAACAGACACTCACTTGAGGTCACACAGCTAAACAGCGTAAAAGCAAATGGCAGAGTCCAAATTCAAACATTTTCATTCTGGCTTATTTATCATTTTCTCCTTACATATATTTAAAATATAAACAAAGCACAGGGAAAAGCAAGATTACTTGTCATTCTACAAAATTTATGCACATGAATTCTTGTTTTCCAAAGCTAACTGACGTTCATGTCTGACAACTTTCAGAGGATATGAGATGTGGCCACACCCTCTTTTCCAAGGTCAAAGGAAAGACAGACAATTCAGAAGCTCAGGTCTGTCCTTCTTGTGGTCAGGGGTGGCCTGAATCCTTCTCGCCAGTAGCTGAAGAAAGCTGCACAGAGCCCTGAGGAATTCACTGCTGCTCTCAAGGAGGGTGATGTAGACAAGGGTTATCACTCAAGCCAGGGGCAGGGATCATCTGCCCTGCAGACATTTCTCTTCCTTTTCTCTTTCTATCTCCAGGGTCCTGTTAGTTCTAGACCAGGCGGTTTCTCTTCACCCTCCTACAACATTACTACAGCGTGCTCCAACTTAAAGGAAAAAGAGCTTATTCAGGCTCACGGTTTTCAGAGGATTCAGTCCGTGGTTGATCAGCTACAAAGCAGGAACAGCATGCTGGAAGGGCATGGTAGAAGAAAGCTTCTCATGGCAGTCAGAAGGGGGAGGAAGAAAGGAGGAGTGGAGCAGGAGATGCACCCTCCAAAGGCACATCCCACTGGGCCTCAGCATCTATCAGCACAGTTAGCCACAAGCTCACTAATGCTCAGTACCCTGACAAGTGTAGCCCAGTACCACCAGTGGCATTAGGCACCGGTTCTCCCAGCACTGGGAGGAAGGTTACAACAGAATCTTAACAGTGGTATCTAGTCACACCAAGTGACTTCTGGTCCTGTTCCTTCTCATGGTTTGGGCTCCTCACCCTACACCTCCCACATCTTCAGCTTGTGCTATGTCACTGTTTTCCCTTTCTCAGCCTGCAAGATGGTTTCCACTTTTAAATTTCATCCAACATCGTGCCATTTTCGCCCAAATCACACAGATTGTAAGAAGTCTTATTGGAAATCTAGGCACACCATCAGTGACTGCACAAGCCGGGAGCTCCACAAGTGTATTCACACATCTGAAATCCATACAGATTAAATATATAGTTATATAAAAAGCTTAGTCAAAAAATAACCATCATTTCATAGAATTTGTTAGTCATTCTCATTAGTGGAAAACTGGAACAAACAACACTACTTGAGTGAAATAATTTGTGCCAAAAATGTTATTCCATAACTAGGAAGAAAATTTAATAGACTTAGACCTATCAGACGTTTAGAAGGAGCTAGAAGGCTCTTGGTACCCGACCCAGGGAATGAGGCAGATGAGGAGACACCATGGGGTTTTACAGCCTGCCTTTCCAGCGGATGGCAGCACTCACTGTTTTTTATCACACCTCGTGAAGACACTCATGAAGACAACTTTCAGAACTGCTCCAGAGAGTGGCAAGAACAATGGGGCTGTGAGGTGAGACCAAGTACCCTAAAGGGGTTAATGGCAATGTATCATTTACTGCAAAAATTTTTAGAATTAAACATTCACCTTATTTCTCAATCACCTCTCTGAATCTCTTTTCATTACTTCTCAAAGACAAACAAATTAAACCTTATTGGATTGCTTGCAGAAATACCTTAATTTAAAAATACAGCCAATACTAAGGTATTGGATTAAATAGGTGTTAGTACTACCTGCAATCAGGTTGGCATAAATCTAGCTGACTCTCAGTAAAACAAACCAAAATGACACAAACCATTTTCTACTCGGACCATGATAACAAGTTTCATTGAAAGTTTATAAATGTAGGGGCTTTTTATTAATTATAAATGAAATATAAGCAACTGCCTCAATAAAGGCAAATTAAAACCCCAGGGCCATCCTATAATCCGTGGATGTGTCCATGAGATAGGAGTGGGTAGTATCGTAAACCCATCCAAAGAAGCTTTCCAAACACTTCCTATAGCTGTTGCAATGCAGCTAGGACCCAGGTTGGTGCCCAAGCCCTGGATCCCTCTGCATTTCTTATGGAATGACTGCAATGCAGGGTTCCTGGGCACCTCTCATACTTAATTTTTTGTTTGTTTGTTTGGAAATATCAAGGTATTCATCAATCAGGCTTAGTGAGGAAGTAGCCAAGAACAGAGAAGACAAACGTTACATCCAAAGTAGAGAACCTCTATAGGCATTTGTTTATGAACATAGAAGGTATCTTTCATGTCCATTAAAGCATGCTTACCTGCAGCTAAAGTCTGCCCCACTCCAGCAGCACTTGTTACACAACCAATCGAATTGCAGAGGGAAACGGTGAACGCATACATCCTGTAAGGCTTCAGTCCTGTGACGATGTAAGAGAGCTCCTGGGATTGTGCCGTGTGCAGCAGCTTCAAGGCAAGAAAGAGTAAGCATGGTCAGGTGACAGACAATCGGGGAAAAAAGCAAGATCTTGGCAGTCAAAGTTCCATGGATTCAAAAAGAGGGAATTATCGCCAGCTACTATTAGGAAAGGGACTTAAAAAAAAGTCTCAACAAGCCAGGATTTAATTGATAATTGTACAATCACACTGTTTTATGAGGTAATAATCCAGTTCCTGAGTAGATAAATGAGAAAACCAAGTTATTGCCTCATAAAGCAGCATGGTGGGATGGTTATTGTCACCAATGGTAGAGATAAAGATGGTGGTGACATTGTCATTGTTACTGTGTAAAAGTCCAGACAAAACCATGGAACTTGTCCAACAGGAAGCCAAAGTAGGAATGCCACATGCTATTCGATGGCAGGAGAAGAGAAGGGTGTCGCTGTTCACATCAATCCCATCATTTAATTTTTTTTACAAAAAGCCACAGAAGTAGAAGGGAAATGAAAATGAACCATTAACAAGCATCCGCATGAGGTCGGCTCTCAATTATCTTTGCTACACAAATTAGCAGAGGCGGATCAGATCAAATAGTTACAGTTTTTGAAATATTGTCTCCATCAAGCACTTTCAACTGAAAATAGCAGACTTGAGCAAAGAAGCCCATGAGGATCTCCATAGCCCATAAACGAGTAATTACATGATCAGCACTGAGAATCAATCCCATCATCATAACTACGGTTGATCAAAGGAGTCATGGAAATTTTCTTAGGCTGTGGATACAAACTGTATTTAGCTAAAAAAGTCATTAAAGTGTAAAACACCGACTATGAATACAAAGCTATTTTATGTAAGGCTATTGATGGATTCTTACATACACTACTGCAATGGCATAGCATAATGAATTACACATTTATGGTGATTTTAGCATAAAGAAACATGCCAGGTGTGGTTGAGTAGGACTATAATCCCAGCTGAGGCGGGAGGATCACTGGGAGTTCAAGACCAGCCTGGGCTACTCAGTGAATTCAAGGCCAGCCCGTACTACATAGCGAGACTCTGTCTCAAACAAACAAACAAACCCGCTAGGCTGCCAGTGGTATAAGAGCACAGGCCATAATTATGAATCACACTTAATACTTGAGAATAGTGATAAGTGACATCACCAGCTTATGTATTTACTGCACTATACACTTAATCATTAAAATATATTTACTGTATAGCTGTCATTGGCTTAAGAGTGCTCTATGCTAAAAAAGGAAAACTAGTTAAGGGAATTAGAGCTTAATGGCAGAGCATTTGCCTAGCACGAATAAAGCCCTGGATTCAATTTTCCACACTGAAAAACTACAATAAAGTCAGATTATATGGAAATGTACATGTATCATAGTGATAAAACACCTAGTCCAAGGGGAAGACTCCAGTAAATGATGTCATTATTTTAAAAAACTAGCACACTATAAGCGGCCCTCACTCATCTCAGGTTTACCATGTGTCTCACTGCATCAAAAGATCACATGGAGTAGCGGATTTACACCTTCTGAATTTGTGTAGGGTCACTTCGTGGTATCTGTGCAGTGAAATCTCCTACTAGTATGTCTCTCAGAACATGCCTATCAGTAAGCGATGTGGGACTGCACATCTATATACAGCGATCTTCCATAAATAAACCTAAATGCTGATAATCATAAAGTTTAGTGACATTAGGACAAAATGTCACTAAGAATTAAGAAAAAACATCACATGGAATATTTGCCCAGATATTTAAACTACAACTTTGCAACTTACAAAGACAACAGAGAACAGTAAAAGCAATAATAACACAAAACACTCAGTGATACACACAGGACAGAGTATACCAAATAAAGACCAAACAAATTATAATTGTAAATTTACCTTAAATATCTTAATAAAGCAGATGGATAGACTAAATCGTACCTATTGCACTAATTATGTCCTTACCATTAGATAACTACAGGCAGCCAGCACATACCTAGACTGAAAGAAATGTACAAGAGATCATAAATTAGTTACTGACTTTTGCTTTGTCTAGTATAAAGAACAAAATTTAGTGTTATACATATGCTCTGCCCACTAAAGTCACAGGAAAACATGGCAAACCTATTACTAGTGGATGAAGTGTGTCTCCCAAATTTTCCTGTCTACCCAAGACCCAAGACCCCATGGAAGCAGGGATTTTGCTCAGGTAGTCAGCAAGATCATCTTGTATGCAGGGCAAGCCATGAATCCAGTTAGCCAATGCCTTCATCGGAGAAATGAGAAGGATACCCAGGGAAGGCAGATAAAGGTCCTGTGACGACAGAGGCAGAGGCTGAAACTCTGTCTCCAGAAATCCAGCAGTACCAGCAGCCACTGGAAGCCAGCAGGGGCGAGACAGGGTGCTCCCCTGGAGGCTGCAGAAAGTCCACCCCTTCCCCTCAGAACTCCAGCCTCCAGAGCTCTGAGAACACAGTATTGTTGTTTTAAGCCACTGCACTTACTAAAATTTAGGAAATAAATACCAGAGAGGGACCAAGATCTAACCTCTGGAGTCAATTTGGGAAAACCTCCGAGGTCATTTTGGCCCCCGCACTGCCCACAGCGTCCACTGAGGCCACAGTTACAGTTGCCTGATGGCTCCACTCCTGATTCTGCTCAGCCCTGCTCTTCTCACTGCTCTGTGCAAGGTGCTTCTCAGAGCACCTCCGAGAGAGCTGAATGGAGGAGCACAGAGCACATCTGCTGGCGACCTGACATTCGGCACCAAGGTCAGGGGTGAACCCAGGATGGAGAGGCCCTGGTTGGCTGCCTCAGACCTCAGTACAGGAAGAAACCAGAGCACAGGGGCCACAGCAGAGGTCTACTGCTGTGACTCTGAAACCCTCGTTGGTGTCAGACTCCAACCTACAAAGAATTCTTTGGAGGAAACTTGGCATTATAAGGACAACAGAATCAGGGCGCTTTTGCTGACTGTTATCAACACATTGAAGAAAGAAGCAGACAATCTGAAGATAATTAACTCCCAATTGTAGACCAACTGTAAAAGGCTCCTTATCAATAACATCACATGAAACAGATCAGCTAACCAAGAAAAAGCAGCTACATACAGGTCTGGTAAAACAGGGCCCCACTGAGTGACAGCTTGGCTTTCTAACAGTTCAGGAATGTGCTGCATCAGCGAAGGTTTTAGGAGTTCGAGTTGTCAGAGACACACTAGGACCTCCACTCCAAAGTAAAAGAAGACTACGGTATCTTCCTGCCACCACTAAGTAGGAAGTAGGATGTCGGGCACCTCTCCTAAGACACAGGGGGCACACTGCACACCCAGGGACTTCCCCATGCACGTGATCAAGAGACAGAGAACACTGCCACACTGAGGGGCTCCCAGATCAGGAAAGGACTCTGCCCAGATAACACAGAGGTACAGGCAGGTGTGCCCTTCGGGACGCAAAACCTTACAGAGCCTATTGCCTTACAGGCAGTGGTGATGGGGAAAAGTCGTCCCAAAAAGAGACATAAAATAGGTGATGTTTTGTTTTGTTTGATCTTATTATGTGTGACATGTATGGACAGCTACGTTGAAGAAAACAAGAGACATTATGGTAGCCATTGTTGATTTCCTATTGTCTTGTTTTGAAGCCCTGTGTTGTTTGCATTGTTCTGTTTCAATTTTCTTTGTTATATTGTTTTGTTTTGTTTTATTCTCTTTAAAATAAAATAAAAATGTAAAAAATAGGACCCCAAGGCCCAAAGGAAGGCTATACTGTGTGATGGAAGCCCTGTGTGCCACTTTATAGACACCCCTCCCACGTCAGTGGGCTTTGGTTAAAGCAGAGCAGGTCACCAGGGGACCCAAATGACACTGCAGTCAGAGCTACTTTCATGAGCTGTGTTTTCAGACATGGAAAGTCTTAGAGTCAGGGCACTCAATAGGAATCCACCCTAAGATCAAAGGAAACGCCTGGGATTGGGTCAAGCCCAGCCACGAACCCAGGGGGTTCCCTCAGGACCTGAAAGGGGAAACACTGAGTTGAATTCACAGATGTTTTGGTGTGTTGGTGGCTACCACAAGTCAGAAAAGGATGGGTTCAGCTCTGCAGCCCCCCGAGAAGGTACTAAAGAATGGCTAAAAATATCTTCTCAAGAGGCAGAATTCAAGGCAGTGAGTCTGCTGTCTATTTTACTGGAAAAGGAAGTGTCTAGAGTTTGGGTGTACGTGGATTCTCAGCAGCGGCAGCTGGTACATTAACCATGGGGTAAAAAGGAGTCTGGAAAATCAGGAAGAGGAATCCTGGTGGGGAGAATTGTGGGAATGAAGAGTAAGATCTGATCTCACATGAGTGTCTGCCAAGGAAAAGAGTAGGTCCCTCAGAGGAGGCGCTGGGCAGACAAGGACACAGACTGGCCTGCTCGGGGACCTCAGCAGCCTCCGCCTTAGCCCACTCCCACACTGGCAGGATGGGCTAGGAAGACACTATACATCAGCCACGATGTACAGGAACCTGTCCTCTCCCGGGACTGTCCTGCATGGTGGATGCCCTCATTCAGGGCAAAGTAAACCCTCAGTCACTGTGAGCTATCACAGTGCGTTTCATTTCTGCTGGATGGAATGGAAGGCAGGATGGAAGGCAGGATGGAGCACATATCCAGAACCTTGAACACGTTTATAACTTCTGCTGTAATAGCACTATTCTTCAGGATTTTCCCTAAAGAACTAGAAATAAAGATTTAATTAAATATTTAATTCTCCAAAAGAATTAACACAACTATCAACTGATTGTGGATTGTGTAAGTAGACTACTGTGTGTCTACATGATACAATAGAAATAGCTACTGAAAGCTCACTTCTCACCAAGTAGTTAAGGATGGGTGGAAAAAAGCAGGTCTTAGGAATTAAAATTATGCCAACTTTGCCTCAGTGTATGCTTATATTAGAAAAAAATAAATAATGTAAAAAATTCACAAGTCCAAAAAATAAAATGTCCCATTTAATAGATGCATAGGAAGAATTCTGTTTCAGAATTCTACAGATTCAGAAATTGGTAAAAGGAAGCCACAATTCAATTGTGAAAAGAAATGTTTAAAAACAAGGGTACCTGTTGCAACACCACTGGAGAAGACTGTTGAGGTGACTGTTCAGAAACCAGACTGATGCTGTACCCCATGACTCTTCCTCTGGTAACATTTTCTGGTGGCTTCTCCCAGGAGACATTGAGAGAGTGAGAGGAGAGTGGAGAGACAGAAGGGGTCCCCATGAGCACAGGCGCTATCGAGACAAAAGTAACACATCAAAGCCATGCACACCATCCCCACACATTTTCAAATTTATTACAGTTTCTCAAATGGCTTATTCCTTATAAAATATTCTGATTTGAAAAAATTGAATAATATACTGATATGATTTGAAAAAATTGAATAATATACTGATATATATATATGTGTATGATATACACTCGTTAAAAGGTCATCTGTGAGAGCATTCTCCATCTTCGTATTACGAGCTAGCTTGTGTTTATAAAATACCTTCTAGGAATTCACAGATGTCTATAAAGATAGCTAGTGGGTAACTGAGTTGAAAACCTTAGGAATTATGACTATTTGAAAGAAATCACAGAAATAGAATATGTCTTATCCACAAAGTTCAGAATGACACATGATTATGTACTGGGTTTCTCATGTAAAGAAATATTTTGCCATGCCAAACCAACGCAATTGGGAAAGAGGTGCATCTAAAATAACGCTAAGTAACCCCAAAGAAAGCTTCCAAGTAGAGATGTTCAGGGTGAGTGTACAGAGCGCATCTTCCTCCTGCCCTCCTCGAGCCCTTAGAAAGGCTCTTAAGTGTGCTCTGCAAAGGTGCATTATCAGAGGACCTCATCATACTTTCATTAGCCAGTGACCCATAAGATTATGAGGGTCCAGTACTGCGCTTTCATCCATTACTTTTCATTCCTGACCTTGATTTTCCCCTTCCCAAGGCCATGGCTCATCTCTTGTGCAATCGCGGTACTATTATTTGTCCAAGACTGCTTGTGGTCATTAAGAGAGCCTCCAGCACAATGTGCATTTTATGCATGAAATGATTGCCCTGGGCATGGACCCAAAGCTACCCCGATCCTCCACAGTACCAATATCAAGATCAGCAGTTGGTTTCTCTGATTCCCCATGGAGTCAAAGTGGAGCAAAGGTGACATTGCTTTCACAAATGCTCATCAAACTTGAAGGGTGCTGACTGCAAACATAACGTGAAAGGTTAAAGCAGTAGTTTGTGTGCCTTAATGAAGATACCTTAGAAACTTAGAATGTTTCCCTTCCTTACCGTAGTGCCAAGTGCTTATAGACACACCGTTGACTTACAGATTTTGGTACCCAGGTGTTGAGCACTCTGGATAACCTAGTAGCCATCCTATTTGATTTGGAGAGAGAAAATCAAAAAGGAAAACAGAACTGTGGAGTTGGTAGCAGTTATCTGTTCCACTGGGCTGAATGTGGAACAAGACGAGAGAAGTAGCCAACCTCCTCTAGACTGGAAACCAACTGGTATTTTGAGATGCATTCCCCAAACACTGTAAGTACAGGCAAGTCACCTCTGCTCCCTTTGTGACTTCAAAGATAAAGCATTTACTTTTTTCCTTAAAACTTACTGCAAATACTATATAATGGGTTATTAATGAAGTCAACCCATATATGAAGTTTTTCTTGGGTTATGTAAGTTTTTAACACGTGCTTTTCAAAAGACAAATCTGTCACTGTTCCCTTGAATGTCAGGCAACAGTTTTATTGAAGGGTTAGACGGCGGAGCTGAAAGGTTTGAACTTTACCTGATTCTCCCGTCCTCTCTGAGATCCAGACGGAAGACACGCTACCAACCACATTCTCAGCTGAGACCTTAAATGCATACTCTGTGTAGGGCTCCAGGCCAGTGATGGTAGCAGCTGTCTGGAGAGGTCTTTGTGCAGTTCCATCAGCTGGTTCTGCAGAAGGCTGAGGACCCAGCCAGCTGCTGCTCTGGAAGACTCTGCGTTCCTCAGTGGACCCCGATCTTTGCATGTATAACTCGTATTTTGTAACAATTCCTACCAAAGTTAAACAATGGGTAAGGGGACCGAGACCAAGGAGCTGTTTTGGGGGTGGCTTGGGGAGAGGTAGGTAGGTATATATTCATTATATAAATGAATACAGCCAGGATGCTGGCTTTTCATTAGTCTAACTCCATCACCCGTCAATTTCGTTAGTAAACTAGATGTTGCAATTTAGGCATCTAGATGACAGGTACTTACAAAAGACAACAGAATGTTGGGTTAGATGAATATAAAGACTATTAAATACATATTCATGGAAAAACAAACCAAAAGAGATAGTGTATAAGTACAAAATAGCTATACTTTATCAGGGGTAAATCAGTCCTTCTCAGGTTCTACCATAGATGGCGAGCTCATTTATAAAACCCCAAAACTGTACCTCCCATTTGTGTATTTTCAAATTTGAGGATTTTAATTTAATTACCTGTTTTATATAAGTCCTGCTTGTACAAACGTTATGGTTAGTTTTTATGCATTTTTACCAAGAAATTTAAAATAGCTGAGGAAAGGTTTGGCCATAATAGATATATGATATAAATTATTAAAAATCTATGAATACGAGGCTGGCCTATATAACCAAGGGTTCAATTGTATGAACACAAAAATTAACTTAATGGAGTCAGCTAGCCTATATACATATTTTTCATATTATTTTATATCCTTTTTCTGCTTAAAAGATAAAATTTACTGCTTATGGGTGCCCTAACTTGTGACACAGTCAAATATAATGCATTTCATAAGTGAGCTTCCAATTATAAACATCATTTGTGTGATGGCAGATGTCATTAAGAGCAAAGATAATATTAGCCTTTTAAGGGCAATTTAATTGAATGGAATTTGTTATTAGATTAGAAGGAATACACTTGTTTAACTCACTAGGAGAAATAGTATTCTATATTTTTAGGAATTATTTTTTTCTCAGTGATAACAGAATTATATAGATGAATACAGTGTCCATAAGCTTATCACACAATTCCTGATGTCGGGACATTCTCTCTGCTAGAAAGGGAAGGTGATCTTGTGGGCTTACCATTCGGTTCTGCCGGTGGAGCCCATTCTGCATGAAGTTCGCTGGAACTGACTCTCCGGATCTTGGGTGGACTCAGTCTTTGCGGCGGTGCCTGTGCTGTGGTCACTGTGACAGGTGACCCCTGGACACAGCCCCCACTAGTGCATGCCTGGACCGAAAACTGGTACTTGGTGAATGGAATCAAACCCCAGATGGTGGCTGAGGTCTCGTGACCTTCATAGGGAATGCACGAGGTGAGGTTGTCCAGAGGAACACAGGACAAAATGTACTTCTCTATGGGACCAGAATGGTTTGAGAGTGCGTTCCAAGTGAGTGTCACAGAGTCAGAGCTGACAGGAATGACGTAGCTTAGGTTCAGGTGTCCCTGTGGCAGCCCTGGCTTTGTTGTGTACATGACACCTGCACTCCGTGTGGAGCCATGCACGTTGGTGGTCTCAATGTGATAGGAATATGTCGTATATGGTGACAGGGCAGTGTCTAAGAAGCACTGGGTACCTGAAATGGAAAGGAAAAGGGGCAAGAAATTGCACTCCATAAATCAGTAAAGATTATTTCTAGCTGCCCTCCCACTAAATTATGTAATCATGTAAGTTCTTTTTTTGGTACCAGGGATTGAACTCAGGACCTTGTGCATGCCCAGGCACTTGTGCCATTGAGCTAAATCCCCAACCACTCCTTTGAATAACAATACCTGCCTACTTTTAAAAGTGAATCAGAGCAAATACTGGTTACTTTTACTGTTCACTACAGTGGAAGCAAAGTGTCATTTCCAGTAGAATATTTAGAAGTTTAGTTTAATTCTTGTTCTCCTCTTAATGTGACCTTTGCATAGAAGGCTAAGTTCTCATCTCTGAGACAGAAATCCCTGTGCTCTCGCTGGAACTGCTACCACAGCGGACCAGGGGTCAGCACATTACAAGGGCTGAGCATCTCACCTGGCCAGTGCCTTGGCCGGTGCCTTTCCTCATTTGGCTGGTAGAAACTGTATAAGATTCAAACTGGTGAGTGTCTGATGTTTCACCTTAAAGGTCAGTATTTTGAGGCAACCTGCATGTTGCCTGGCGTCAATTTGCAATCTTTATCGGTGCTCCCCAGATTTGCAGGTCCTCCTCTGAGTACCACCCCCACAGCTACTTGGTACTCGCTCATGAATCCTGAAGGACCTCTCTTCATATACCACTATGCCTTTCAATGCGTAATTTCTTCCATGAGAATTACTCTTCCTCTACTCTGATGGCTGGCTAATTCTGCTCCCATCACAGCCTTACTGTGAAGCTTTCTCAGTGGCCATTTTACACTACCTGGGGCTCTCCTAATACTCTGAGCGGATGCTGCTTGAACATTTAAGACACTGCCTTCTCCATCTCCGCTCGGTAAAGGAAACTTTTACTTCCAGCTTCATAGTTAGAGGCTCCTGGTTTGGGCTAAGCCCTAAATAAAATTTTACTGAACAAATCAATCACCTTTCCATATATATCTAACTCTTATCTCAGGAAGAAAGAGAATACTGTGAATTCATAGTAGGGAGAACTCTATAAGAACAGTTGCTTGTTTTCTCTCCTGTTTTCTGTCTCCATCTCCCCTGTATCTGTTGGTTTTTTCTCTCAGAGCTAACCGAATCACCTCACTTGTTGCCTTGAGCTCTAGTACTAAGGATAAATAGCAGTGATATCAAAGACAGAAATGAACACTAAGAGTATAAATGAAATTCCAGAGTTGACTCAGATATGTTATTGTCTAAAGCTCTACATGGAAATGCATCTGTTCTCCAGGTGGTAACAATAACTGTCCTATGCAGAAATAACCACCTTCTAGCTTCCATGAGAAGAGACTTCCTTCGGCTGACATCTCCCACTCATGTTATCCCACATGAGGAACAACTTACAAGACCACGTGACACTCACAGCAGAAGAGGAGCCAAAGATCTGTGTCTTCCCCACATAACTACTTCCATCCTCACAGTTAGAAGACATAAAAATCCCATGACCAGGCCAGATCAGGGCCACAGCAGAGACAGCATTAGAACTGGTCATGTTCAGTTCCAAAGTGCTAATTTAACCTCTACACTTTTCCACATCTAAAAGCCTAGAGGATACAAATCAATTAAATTTTATTTACAGAAACCCCTAAATATAGCTTATTGCTAATGATTGAGATACTTTCAAATTATTCTAGCAGGAGTGAGCTGCTATGAATAACAAATCATGTGGAGTTTTAATAATGTGCATTATGAGCCTAGGATGGAAATTACTGTGCAGGAGAATCCCATGATGCACCAGGACCGGAAGAGAAAAGTTTCTGTTCTAGCCAAGAATTCTGTAATAGTCTCAACCAAGTGATCCAACTTGCTTGGAAGGCAACACTATTAATTTTCTCTGAAAAGTTCAGTGATTCTCTACCTATAATTCTGGATGCCTTTATTTAACCCAAAGATTTGTGTTCACTGGGCTGCATGTAAGTAGTGTTTCCTTTTCATATTACACAAGCCGGAGATGCCTGGGAAATAGAGTAATAAACACGAAGTATTTTCAGGCTTACACAGAGTTCTGACAGTGTTAACTACGTCTTCTTATTGCTCAAATGCCATTATGCAGATATTTTTCACATCATTAATTACAGAGATTGTTAGGAAATGCCAGAAGTGGGCATTGCATTTTTTTAAATGAAAAATAAGGTTTTAGGAAATAATACCTTGTTTAATAGGATTACATAAATGTCTGATTGGGACTGCATGCACATTTATTACATAAGAAATTGCTATTTGGACTCTATATTAGTGCAATCATGAAAAGAGGAAGGGTGTCATATAAAATAAGCCATAATACATTACTATGAAAAACATGGATAGCTTTACATTTTATTCTGCTACTGAATTAACCTGTGTGGAAAACAGGGTGACCCTAACTGGCAACTTCAGAAATAACTCAACCAGTGGTGCTGTCATCTTCAAAATCATTTTCAATATTTTTATAGCTCTTCTCTTCCTCTGTCACAAAAGTTTAAGTTTCAGGACACCTGGATCATGCTGATATTTGGAAGAAAATAAACATTTTAGTAGCAGGTTTTAGGAGGCTTTGCCAATGTGGCAGATGCAGACAGATGTTCACTTCCCTTTGCAATCTGCGGCATGAAGTTCAGAGTCTCCATTAACTGCAAAGAACACTTAGAGCACCAAGAGATATTTAGTTAGGAGAAAGTGATGGACACGCTAAACTAGGTGTGAGGCATGTGACATTAGTTACAAAATGTAACCTACTACAGAACATAAAAGTACAACTATGCTGTGTAAGGGTTTTTAAGTGAATTAATATTTTAAAATTAGACTGTTCTATTTTAAGACATGCTGTGCAATCAAGGTTTTGACATAACTGTACATACACATTATACTAAAATTTGATAAGTTGAGTTTTTAAGAGAATAGAATAGAAAATTGAATTAGAATTATTGTTTAAGGCTTCATAAACTGTCTTGTAGCTAAATAGGACGGGGAGAAAAATCAGAGAAAACACACGGGAAAGGATTTAAAAACTATTTTCACTCTGCCTTGAAGTTTTATCTGAAACATCAGAAGATATTTAAATACAATAATTTCTCAAATTTTGGATTCTGTGAGTTTATTTAAAGTCTTACAAAAGTAGAAATATAGCTACCCTGCCTTGTTCAGGTCATCCCCATCTCAAACTAATTTCATGTTATTTCTCTCTGGGAGAAGCAACACATGCATAAGATTACATTATTTGTTTGAATGTTAGTATCATGATTTCAGATTTTTTAAAAGCCCTTTTTAATCTGAGAATTTAAAAAAGTAAAATTCTTTAGAATAGAAAATTTAATAAATTTTATGTAGCATTTGCACCCAAGGAAAGTATAGATGCATTTGTGGTAAATTTCTCAGTATTTTTAAATAAAATTTAATCCACACATTTTTAAAAGAATCTTTATTACATTAAATGATACACTATGAACATTTTCACTCTTTAGTTTTTAAACTCAGATACCATTTTACAGGTTATCGTAGCCTACAATTTATTTGACCGTGTATCAGGATTGAGTCTGTTCTGCTGTATAGCACAACTGCAAAAGATTTTCAGATGTTGGAATGGTTTGCAATATTCAGATTTAACAAATAGTAGAGGCACAGACACTTCAGGATGCTGGGTTCATTTGCAACTACTAGTTTGGTATTAGTCCCCTCATGCAGGTTGGATGAACTGAATGATACCTGATAGGAAGGACCTTTGTATATTTTAGCAATTTATCGTGCATGTAAAGTGGTGCTGCTGAGCCCAGAGGACTCCCCTCTCCCCAAGGCTCAGGAATGCTCCAGCTTCTCCACATCCTCACTGGTACTGAGAGGGGCTTTTTTCAGCCTCAATAATTTGATAAGCATTAACTGTTTATCAAAATATAACATTTCATTTTTATTGCATTTATTTGATTCCAAGTAAGATATGCAAATTCTCCCTCCCTCCCTCTCTGTCTCTCTCCCTTCCTATCTCTCTCTCTCTCCCCCTCTATCCCCTCTCTCCCTCCCATCCTCCCTACTTGAAATGCTCTGTGTTAAAGGAAGGAAACCACAACATTTATCCTCAGTGTCAGAGAACTTTAGAAATGCATCAGCCCTCAAACATCATGTCTTTCTACCGCCCAAGCCTTACACCACTCACTGTATGGGTACTGGTCTTCAGTCGTGTGGACTTCAGATCCATCCCTGAATAAACGGTAGGTAAGCCAGTGGGCATTTGGGGAGTCAGGTGGGCTCCAGGAGAGACTGATTGCAGAAGAACTTTGAACTTGTCCTCTGGGAGGAGGTTGCTGGGATGGAGCTAAATTACAATGGAGAGAGCATTTATTAGCAAACAGAATCAATAAACAGAGAAGTAAACTGAAGTAAGATATCCGGCCAAAAGGTCTCTAACTCAGGATCACCATATAAAGAAGACATGTGGTTTACCAGGACATTAATAAACCAATAGTATGCATCACGATTTCTCCAAAACAATGCTTTTTATCTATAAGCATAAAACAAATATGAGATCAAAGCAGCTGACATGAGCACGGTGAGGGAGGACATAAAATAATTTATATTATGCATTTCTTCCTTGGCCATATTTTTAAATCTTTTTTTGGAGAAACTATCAAAGTATGGGTAACATTTTTTTTTACTTAATTTAAAATGTGACATAAATTCCATTGAAAGTTGAAATTTATGTAGCATGCTTCTTGGGTTTTTAAAAGAAATTTTCCATTCCATTAAGCACAATACCATCTTTTGCTTCACAGAGCACCGTGTAAAGGATAATATTTGGAGATATACATAGCTATCCATGTTAAATAATCTAAATGTTACCAATTAACTCTTTAAATGTACAATGCAAATATAATAACACCCAGAAGAAGTACTTTTAGAATGAAGTACTATGTGTGTACAAGAACATTTTTCTATTTTTGTGATAATTTGTATTATATAAATCTGTACCATTAAAACATCGTTTTCTGCCACCATAAATTTCCTTGTCTCCCTAAGAAGACTCTGATTTGTAAGAGCAAGTGTCTTTCTTTTTTTCCCCTAGAATACACAAAGAAGGAAATAGCATCTATTTTTAAGGACAATCAACCACCAAGACAGAAAACTGTCATCCAGTTAAAGAAGCATACAGATTCCCTCACTGAGAAAGGTGTCATGTTGTTTTTTAAACCATCAGATTTGTTTGTTAAGAAATGTTTACAAATCATGTGAAAGAATAAATGCATCAAATATTTATCAACATTTTCTGTGAAATATCTGCAGTCACTGGATGACTCATTCAGGGTCTCAAAGGAAAGAGAAATGAGGCTTAAATTAAGTCCTTTGCACAGAACTTCATAAACTGACTCTTCAGGAAGGTGGGTAAAAATAACACCGTAATTCAGGGTAACGCATCAGGAGAGTTCTTTGACTATATTTGTCAGTGTCCCAAAGACCCCAGAACCCTGGGTCAAGTGAGTCCCTAGGAAGACTCAGGACACGCCCTGTGTCATGGCTGGGACTACAGGAGCCAGCAGCCAAGGTGGAGGACACATGAGTGATATCCAGGGGCCCAGGCACAAGCTGCCCAGAGTCTTTCCCCAACTTCATCTCCCAGAATGCATTGCGAAAGTCCATGAGGTGTCCCGGACCAGGGAAGCTCAATAGAATCTCAGAGCTCAGGGTTTTTACTGGGTACTGTTTATGCTGGCAACCTCTGCAGTGTATCAGAATTTCCCTCCCAGAAGGAAAGCAGGCATTACACATAGGATATCTGTTTTTATTTATATGTCCCAGTCCTCCCTCATCACCAGGTCTGGGTAGGCTGGTCACCCAGGATACTGAGACATCAGTCCGGGCAACCTTGCACACAGGTCTTTCTGAAGATGCAGACTCTTCTCTGTGTCTTTTGCCTAACCTGGAAGGGGACAGAGCTCAGGGACAGAAAGGACCACATAAACAGCATCGTTCACAGGACCTGTGACCAGCACAGAGGGACACAGACTGCTCGCATCTTCTCTTGCATCAGGACACTGAGCTGGGTTTTCACATTCTGACTTTTTTACCTCCCCCGGCCATGGCTGGTGGGTTCCTCCTGAAAACCTCTGTTAACTATCGAGAATTCAGAGCACAAGGAAGCCTGTGGGTGCAGGCCACTGAGACCTAGAGGACAGCGCAGGGTGACAGATGGAAAACAAGGACAGGCTCTCTTGCACACCAGGCAGACTTAGCTAGAGGCTACTGCTGCCCCATCAGCACCCAGGAGTGAGTCACTCATTTTGAAGACATTATATAATACAGTAACGTTCTGAGGCCATATTCCAAGAGCACTGAATATGAAACATACAAAATTACATATATACCGCACAGGGTTCCCAAGACAATTCACCAGCTATCAGGGAAGTTAATATTTTGACTCATATTTTTAAAGAAACATATTCATTAACTATGTTAGATACTCTAGATGTACCAGCATTGTTCCCAGTCTGCCTTTCTCTTCCCTGGGAATCACATTGTGGTATTAAATCGCAACTTTCCACATACTTATTTAGGTCAAGGACAGGAAGAGTAATGCTCTCAAAGGGATATGTGGAAGAAAATAGAATTGTATTTGAATTTTACCTTACATTTTTTAATTCAGGAATTTGTCATTATTTGATGTGGTCACTGCTTGGGCACTGAAAGTGCATTTAACCCTGTTGCTGGCTTTCCTGTTGTTCTTGGTGAAATCACAGATTCATAAACTGCCTCACTTTTAGCATTTCAAAAGAATTTTGTAATCCACTGAAATTTATATATTTAATGAATATTAGTAATTTTACTTAAAAACTCTGTATTCTACTGGAACTCAAAAGATTGTAAAGGTACAACAATCAAAACCAAACTTTAGATTATTTTCCAAGGCAGATAGAACTTAGCGGGTGACTGAAAGGGATATTTCAGTCCCACACCAAAGGTCATAGAACATAGTACACAAAACATGCAAGAGACCTTCTTCATACACATAGGCTCTGCTCAAACATTTAAGTTGCATCGTTGCTGCAAACATCTATAATCACAATCTTGTTTGGCTTCATAGTATAAATAGATAGTATGACTTGGAATTTAAATAAGAATTTTCATAGACCTGAAGGTTTAGATGGGTTTGACATCAGTTTAAAAATAAATAATATAAAATCCTGGGCATAAGATAATGCTGATCTCCCCTTTATGGGCTCAAAGTAGAATTCTAAGAGAACGTTCACACATTTATTCACCAACATTGCCAAGAATGGTCTGCGCAGAGGCCAGATTGTATTTTAAGGAGCGATGTTATAACATTGTGACGAGATCCATCTGTTTGGGAGTCAGGAGCTTGAATCCCAGCTGGAGAACTTTGGTAGTTGCATGATTTCAGTCACATATAAATGAGGCTTTCTGAATCTTTCCTCATTTATAGTAAGAGCATGATAATGTCTACTTCTCAGGGTCATTTTGAAAACCAAGTGTGTGCATGACTTTGTGAAGGTCTATACATGTGAGTGTGTGTGTGTGTGTGTATACATACACATAAACTATGTAAATGATCATTTTTAAAAAAGAGAATAAAACCAAGGAAAATATAACAGAATAAAGCCAATCAAAACAAACCAGTGTAAGTGACACAGGTCTTTAAAACAACAGGAAATCAACAATGATTACCATAATGCCTCTTGTTATCTTCAAAATAGCTGCAGAGACCTTCAGACATAATAGAAATGAAACAAAACAGAACAGAATAGAACCAATGAAAACAAAATAATGAATGCAACAAAGGACTTCAAAACAAGAGAACAGTAAATCCAAAATGGCTACCATAATATATCTTGTTATCTTTGAAATAGCTGCCCATGCCATCGGATATAATCAAATCAAATAAAATCCAACCCAACAAAATGATGCAGGACTTCAAAACAAGATGATAGGGAATTAACAATGGCCACCACCTTCCAAAGGAGATTTCCCCCATAGATGCTACATTGTGTATTTCCATTCTCTGAATAGATGATCAGACTACCAGCCCTAGACCTTCAAAGTCAGTGAAACACTAAGGACTACAAGAACTAAATTGCATTGGAAGGGGCTCGTTCTGGCTGTCCCCGCAGCGGCCCAAGCGGTACATGGCACCGATTCGCAGGAGGACTTGCTTCTAGGTGACTTCCTGTTCTCTTACCCCCAAAAGGATCATGCGTTAGTAAACATCACCTTTGTTTCTGCCACCCTCTATGTATGTAACAAGGTACCTTGTTTATTACATCTCAAGGCTTCTCCAGCAATAGGCACACATAAATGATATTTACTAAAGGAAAAATTATCTTCCATCTTAACATCCTGATGCAAAACTGATCATACAGACATCTTTGGAATTCATGAGTCAGATGCCAGAGAAACACGAGAGAGCATAAGAATAGGCATCGAAGAAATGCAGAAGAGAAACAACTTTGTACAAGGATACTACAGGCCGCCTAATACACAGAGGACATAAAGTTTCTTTATTCAGATTCCAAGTCTGATGACAAGGTAGCAGTGATGACCAGCAGCTGCTCCAAATATTTAAATTCTTAGGTGGTGGCTCATTGGCTAAAGGAAAAACATGGTGGATTTATGAACCGTATTATTAGTAATAAGATAGGAGAGCAAAGGACAGCACAAGAGACTACTGATCTAGACCCAGTTCTGCTCCAAAAGTGTTCACTGGAAGCACAGAAGAGCCGGGAAGATTAGCTGAAACTTTCTTCCCTCTGCTGGCCAAGGCGCTGCCCTGAGAAGGCAGGGGCTCAGCTTCCTCCACTGCTTTGCTTTGGTCTCTCGAGCTTCCAGGTAGGGGACCTTGAATAGAGGATGAGTCTTGGGTCCACAAGGACTCATCCAAGGAGCCCGACTCACTGCCTTTGGGCCTCCATTCACTTTGGGCAGCAAATCAGTGGCAAGGAATGACCATGCAAAAAGCCACAACTGTGGTCCCAGCCCTGAGTTCCAAGGATGGACAAGCAGACAGCAATGACCCAGACAAAAGGTAAACATGTCTTTCACAGATGAAAAGAAATGAAAACATCTACTAGAAAATTATAAGCAACTGTAAGAGAGAAGAGATTCAGGTTTTCTGGTTATTTCAGCAGTTTTTGAGTCATCTGAACAAAATTATAAGCATTTCTGGGAGCCCAAAAAGAAGCACAGATCTGAGTGAGGAAGAAATCCGGAGCTACCCCCTTTGTCCTGGTTTGGTGGCCCTCACTGCAAACTGCAAAAACTCTGCTTCCCGGAGGGATTGTGCATGGGTAGGTGGCGACTCCAGCTGCA